CGTCGTCCTCTGACTCCGCCGCCGGCTCGACGATCGGCACGGCGCTAGCTAGATCGACAATCACAGGGCTCGCCATCGCCAGAGCAAGCTCAAGAACACCAGACGGCAAATCTGTCCGCCAAACCTGGAGAGGTAGCAAAGGAGAAGGCGCTGGACGGGCATCCGAGACGCATTATCCAAATGCAAAGCATTTTTCTCTGTGAATCCTGTGATTTTAGATCGCTAGAATGTAGAACCCGCGCATAAACCCTAGCTAACGCTTCTCTCTCTCTCTCACTCCCGCCCTAAATAAGAGGCTGAAATACCTAGGCCAAGACTTTGCTAAATGTTTCTTTCTAGCTAGTTTTTGAAGAGCGCCGCAACATGTGACCTCCACGATGCGGCGCCGCAGCGGCAGGAGGGAGGTATTTTCGGCGACATAGTAGCATTTACTTTGCCCGGTAAAACCACGCCGCGATAAGAATCGCTGACGTGGCGTTGCCCGTGCAACTGGGAAGCTATCCGCGTGTGGGCACGTGGAGATGGGCCTCGGCCACGACCACTACACACCGTCCGTACGACTTACGTGGGTCGCAGCGCCCAGGTCATTGTAGGGTTTTTGCGATGATCAATGTAGCACCGCCTAGGGTTCTAGCGCCAAGAAGCAGGGCGCTATCGGGAATTCCAGTCCGCGCATTGTCGAAATCGTGCTCCATCTCGGGTCCGCCGGATGATTTCAGCTACAGGGAAGCGGTGTCGATGGACACTGAGGAGATCGTGGCGACGCGATGGCCTCAGCTGATTGATATTGTGCGCGAGGGATCACTCGTAGCGGTGAGGAATGTGAATGCGGGTGAAAATGGTGAGCCGGAGCTGGTGATTCTCGTCGGGACTGCTCATGTGTCCCAGGTTTCGGCGCAACAGGTCGAGCGCGCGATCAAGACAATCCGTCCCGATAATGTCGTTGTGGAGCTCTGCAAAAGCAGGTAAGCATGTAGCACTCTATCTCTAGTAAACAATGGGTGAGGATTTTGGATGCCGCAGGATTGGAATTATGTATTTGGATCCGTCAATGGCGAATTCCACCGCGAATTTCTTATCGTTGACAGGCACGGATCGCAATGCAGCTTTGGCTCGTAGTTTTAATCTCGGTAATCTGTCTTTTATTTAAAATATAGCTTCCATTCGATTTCATATTTTTTTCTCAGGTGGGAGATCAGCATTTTTTCTGAGATTGCTGCTTGCCAGTGTTTCAGAAAAGATTTCTAAGTCTGCGGCTGTGCCAGTTGGCGAAGAGGTAAGACAGTTCATTGACGTAAAAGCTGGATATTCATGGCGATTGCTGCTTACAGTTCAGGGCTGCAAGAAGAGCAGCGAAAGAAGTTGAAGCTCAGCTTGTTTTGGGTGATCGGCCTATTGAAATCACTGTAAGTGTAGTTTTGCCGGGAGCTGCTTGTTAATGTTTTGTGTAGTTTCTGTAGTTGAATCGCGCATGGCGCGCTTTGACGTGGAAGGAGCGTCTGCGTCTTGCTAACACGTTCTTGCAGACATTCCTGTTTGCCAATGTTGACGCATCAGAAGCAGCGTTGAAGGTGAAGGCTTTTATGGATTATAATTTACTGTTTCTGATTTTGTTAAGCAGTCGATGAAGTCCGACGATGTGATTTCAAGCATGTATTCCTTTATGAGCTCTCAGTTTCCTTCTCTATTGCGACACCTCGTTTGGGAGCGCGATCTGGTGCGCTTTCTTTTAGAATAGTCACTTTCCTTTGATGTAGTCGTTTGACACTTAGCTTTGTTGTACAGTATATGGCGTGGTCTTTGAAGCGCAGCAAAGCAGTTACGGGCTGCAAGACTGTGGTTGGAGTTATTGGAAGGGGTCATCTCTCCGGAGTAGTTTACGCTCTCCTTCACAGTCAGGAACACTTGAGTTTCCGGGACCTGGTCGGTAAAACTGAAAACTCGATAGCAGATCCCTTCAGAATTTACAGAGGCATTATTGCCGAAGGCATACTTGGGCTTCTTCTATGGTTGCTCTACAGCTACATTAGCGCGAACTTGGCTGTGTAGTCCACCAAATGTTTCCTCTGTCAGGCTGTTAGCTATTTACAGCACGGGCTGGGAAAGTACTCTCTTGACATGGTTGGAGAGTTTGGCCTGTACTTTATTGGTACCTGGAAAGACGTTCATAATTCTGGCCGCATTGAGAAAGAGCTGCTTGCAAGCTTGTGGCAGCGCGCCGGGCTGCAGAGTCTCGTACAGAAGCTTCTGCATGTTCTTGTTCGCAAGTGCTTGGACCTGACTTAGTGCTTCACTTTCAGTTAATTGAGGATTCTCTTCAAGGTAGATGGTGATACTGTTGAGGCTTGAATCCACCTGGAAAATCTCGAATGGTGGTAAGGGATTTCCTATTTCGTCTATTTCTTCGGGTTTACCTTGTCCGTGTGTGTATCTTGTACCAGGCGTGAAGCAGTGTTCATCATTTGGCAAATGGCCGAGTCTTTTAAATCTCCGGTGGCGAGCGTTTCGCCGACGAAGTACACAGTGCTCCGGACAGCAGGCTCGATGCTTGAATGTGAGGCCTTTAGATATTCCTCCAAAGTTGGATAGTTGTCTGACATTTTCCACTTGGTTCTCTGCAGTAGGCTCGATAGCCACGTTTTCCACTGCCAAAGCAAATATTGATCAGATTTATCAACGATTCTCACCGAAAACACTTACGATTTCTCGCAGCGCCCCTCCTATACTCCGGCCTTGGTACAAGAAGCCCTGCTTGCTATGGTTTTGAACGATGTTATAGAGCTCGACGAACAGTATTTTCACTTTGGCCGAGCAGTTTCCAAGCGAGTTCACGTTCCACCTGTGCATCAGCTGTCAGAGCTCGAGTGGCATTGAATTTGTGGCGTGAATTACCTCTCGACGTTGTTTATGAGATCCTCAAGTTCTTTGGTGGACCCTTGGTAGTCAAAGTATTCATTAATACCGAGTGATAGGAACCAGCATTGCGACCAAATAAGCCTTGCTGGTGAGAGCTCCGGCTCGAAGATGGTTGCAGCAGCTGAATAGAACGTTTGCTCCAGTTTGCTGCGGGAGAATCCTTTGAACATTGACAGGCTGCTCTCGTCGTACCACCTGTGATGGATTTCGGGTGAGTATGTCTTGTTTACATATATACTTTCATCACCTTTCAAGTTGCTGAAATTCTTTTCTGTGCAGAGCCCGACACATGTTGAAGTCTGCCTTCGCGAGCTCTAGGAAAATTGGATTGTTGACGAAGGGCATCCTGTATCAGTTACAGGAGTTAGCTGGCAGCGTTGATTTCCGTGAAAGGATTCTCACCTGTAGAGGCTCTTCCCGATCCAGACATCGTCAGCCGCGTACTGATCGATATATCTTCTTGTTGCCAGTCTTTCTAATCTAGCATGCATTGGGTTGTCGAGCGCAAACTCGACCTGTAAAGTGTTCACAGGTCAGTTTTGTTTTGTGACATGCTCTAACGCATACCTCTCCTGGCAGATCTTTAGAGATAATCCACTTGTCGTACAGCTGATTCTCCTGGCGTTTTCCTTCGAGAAACTTTCTGGCAAATGAGCCTGCTTCTTCCAGGATTGTTTCGCCGGGAAACATCACTTGAGAAGCCCGGTACAAGTTGTACATTCCTGTCACTGCTTGACCCGCTTGCCCGCTGAAGCAGACGAAGGAATCGCCCTCTTGGAAGGTTTTAAAGGCGTCTGTGTTGTACGATATGAGAAGTGACGAAAGAAGCGGGTATGGCTTGGAGAGTACCTGGTGATATGTCGTATCCGTGACTTCGCAAGAGCCGGAAGGCCATGGAAGTATCGTCAGCGTCTTGAACAGGTGAACCTCTGGCCCATGCTATTCCTTTGTCTGTCCAGTATCTGTTACAAGTTCTCACGTTGTGTGTTTGTCATAGGTGGTACTACGCATACACACCTGTACACGTAGTCAAGAGCTGATTTAATCTCTTGAGTGAAGTAGCGAGAGATTCCCAGGCGTTGTAAGCGGTCAACTATCCAGAGATGCTCAAACAGATCCACTGGGTATACATTTGGTACTGTCGAGAAACAAGAGTTTTTACGTCAGGAGTTCTCGGAGGTAAAGTTTCACCATTCCTTTACCTGCGCAGTTGAATCTCTTGACGAGGTTGTTCAGGTACTGCAGGCATTTCTCGTTTCCCGTATGCATCAGTGCGCATGCTGTGGAGGCGGGGCTGAAGAGCAGTGAACCATCTGGTGACTGCAGTTTTATGACCTTGTCCCAGTCTATAGTCTTATGAAGTCCTTCCAACGAATGCAGGAGAGTGGTGGGATAGTTCTGGACCACATTCATGGGTATTCTGCGTGCGGGTATCACGTCAGTAAGGTTGTCTCGGAACATTTTCTATGTCTAACCTTTCAAGTTTCTTCTTCCTTTCAGCATAAATTGTTTGGAGCACGGGCGCTGTATAGTCGATGTCAAGCTCGAGTGCCATGGCCTCCTCTATCATTGCCGGAAACACAATTTCAAATCCTATTGGCATGTGAGTACTGTCCTCCAACTCCATCTTAGGCATAGTTTTGCGAATAAACTCGAGGGCTGAATGAGAATGAGATGGTTGGTCTTTGTGTTTCTTCTGAAAGTGATTACTTACCTTTGTGAACAATCTTGTCTCCGGTGTTCCAGGTTTTGAGAGCTATTGCACATGCCAGTGCCGAACAGATGCGATCATACGTAAGAAACAAGTCTCTATCACCCCAGGATCCATCCTCGAGCTGATTGTTCATGATCCAGTTTAGGCACATGGGAAATTGAGGCGTGTTGCTGCCATCCAAAGCGGGTACTCGTGCCACCCAAGCCGTATCGTAGGCTGACACGGATATCTCCCCGTCGTGCAGAGAGTTCAACATGCTTCTTACGGTTTCGACGAGTTCCCACTTTCGTCCGCCATCAGTCGCTGGAATTGTCTGCAAACCAAGAAGAATTCCGATCAGGACCTCCGGCCTTACGGGATCTTGCAGAACATACTTCTGGGACTTGCCGAGGTGTTGGAAGCTTCCGTCCGGGAGTTTGCACGCGAGATGAAACTGGAGATAGTGTTAAGTTAGCAGCAAGCGCACAACCGGGTGAGTTAGTTCTCTTTTATACCTGGAACTGATGCGGTCGGCACTGCACGCAGTGAAGGCGTAGTTTTGGAAGCATCATCGCGGCCTGGGAACAAAATAAGGATCCACCCGACAAGCAGTTAGCCGCAGAAGTCATCACAGGAGTGAGTAGCTTGGTCTCCTTACCTCTCGCTTCTAGTTTCTGTGCTACAACACCACGACTTACATGCGTTGTCCTGCAGCTGGACCAGAACAAGGAAGAGGAAGAGGAGGAGGAGGCTGCCTTCCATGCAGCTCCAGCAGCAGCAACAGCAGCTGCTGCTGCCATTTGCGGCTGCTCCGCCCGCCTTGCTCTCTCTCTCTCTCTCGGCCCCAAAGGCACTGGAGAAGCACGAATATATGGGAGGAATATCTGAGCAGCAGCTGGAGCAGAAGCAGGAAAAGAGAAGCGAAGGAAAGGAAAGAGAGAAGAAAGAAGAAGAAAATGCTGAAAAGGCAGAACGGGGGGGACAGGACAGTCCCCGAGCAACAGGTAATCAAGCGAAAACACAAAAGACAATTGATTCAAAACAACACTAAGTTCGGAGGATCTGCAGTATCAATGTGCGGAGGAGCACCTTGTGAGGCAGCTGGTGGATCACGAAAAGCAGCGCCAGCAGTGAGGCCAACGGAAAAGCAACGCGAAGCCAAATTGCCGACTGGGTCTTGACTCCCTGCATTGGACGTTAGTCGGAGGTAAGGATGGATGGCTCTTCTGCTTCTCCTCCTCCTTCCTGGTTGTTTTTCTTCATACACTTATATATCCCTTGATTCTCTGGCTCACCAAGTGTTATATGACAGGTGCTGCCAAAGCGAATATTGGGCCCTTGAGTGCTCATTATTCCACATGGGACATATTCCTCATGTTGAGGAAGGCATCGGGGCCGAGAGTTTGAGACAAAATGACTATTTCCATCCACGTGGACGGTAAATGGCTGCATTTAATAGCTCTAATGCTTATCCTTTTTCTTCCATTTTTGCCTACAGTGAAAGAATTACGCTAGAAAAGTGGCATGGAGCATTGAAATGGTGAACCTTGCATCCTCTCTCCCGCTCCCGACCGATTTCACGACCGACCAAGGCAAGCGAGCAAGCTCCAATGAGCGGTGTCTTGTGACATTATAATGTTTTTTGATGCTGGTCAATGTAGAGCCGTGTTCCAAGTCTCGCGAAAAGAACACTTCGTGCGGTTCCTTGCGTGAAGCGATCTCAGTAAAGTAAGTTGTCTGTTTGAATCGAAATCTTCATGCTATCTCTCTTTCCAGAAATGCAGAAGACTGATGGAGCAAGAGCAAAGTAAGTAGTTTCTTAAATCTTTTGGTCACCTCTCTTCTCCAGGAAGCTACTCAAACAATTGCCTGGTGGTGGACTGGGCCAAAGCTGCAGCATAAAGCATCCCCATGCTCCACCACGTTGTGGCATGGACAGAGAGATTCGCCATGGATGGAAACGAGCAGTGCACAACGAAAGTGTGCGTATATATCGATCGAAGAAAAAAGTTCCTGCCGGCGATCTGGATGGATCGGTAAAGCCAGTGGATCAAGAAAAAATGGAGCGCAAACTAGTACGTGATCTTTTTTTTCTGTTGACTAAAACGCTTCTCTCGCTTGCTTTGTTTCGTTGGTTTCCAGATCTTATCTCTTTGATCAAAAAGTCTTCCCTGTTGTCGGCCTTTCGCCCTGATAGATTTCATGAAATATATCGCTGCTACTAAGACGTTGTAGAACCATATCAGTGAATGGAATAGAAATAAAAGCCATGGTCCCATTTTCTCGCTATATGGTACCCCAACATTATTTCACTGACACAGCTCTATACTACTACAATCTTCCACGTTGACTAGTTACCCACCCATTTTTACAAATTCCACCCCCCAGGAAGGAATAACATTAACTGCATGTTGACTGTTTCACCCGCCTTTCGTGTGTGACGGCCTGACCACCTGTACGGACGCGTGTGGCCCGTCGCTTTCCCCGTCCACGTGCCCGTCGTGCCGCGGGCATATTCCCGCCGATCCGGTGGGCCTTTAAAACCCCAGCGCTCTTTCCACCGGGCCACCAGGGGAACCACGCGCGTACGGTGAAATGTTGACTCGTCAGGGCCCGTCAGGTGGGTGGCGCGACGGGCGAGACAGGCGAGACGAGCCGGCCATTGGAAGGGCCGCCCGTCACCGCGACGAAGAAATCAACACACTTGGACGAGAGAGGCCTTGGAAATGCCAGTTGACAATTTTGGCCCAATGCTCTGTGTCGTGACATTTTAGGTCGACTCCTTTCTCCCAATCTCTCTCATTCTTCCATTTCTCCCATTTGGCGGTCGATCGATCGAGAGGGAGAGAGAAATGGGCGTTGAATCGCCAATGGATCCCAGCGGCAGCAGCTCCAGCGCCATCGCCAGCAGCAGCGACTCCAATCCCTACCAGGTGAACATCAAGATCATGATTGCCGCCATTGTCGTCCTCTTCTCGGTCATCCTCTTCATCCTCTCGCTCCACCTCTACGCCAAGTGGTTCTGGAAGAGCTCCCAATTCGCCGCGCGCCGCCGCCGCCTCCTCCACCTCCAGCAGATCCAAGCCATCCAGCAGCAGATCCAGGCGGCGGCGGCCGCGGACCCCCTCTTCTTCTCCAATTCCCCGGCGCTAGGCGTGGACAAGTCCATCATCCAGTCGCTCCCCCTCTTCGTCTTCCGCGAGAGCGACAAGATCAAGCTCGATTGCTGCGCGGTCTGCCTGTGCGAGTTCCAGGAGGGCGATCATGGCCGGACTCTCCCCAAATGCGGCCATAGCTTCCACACCGAGTGTATAGATATGTGGCTACATTGCCACTCCACTTGTCCCCTGTGCCGTGCCAGCCTCCTGTCCAGCTCCAACTCCGCTGGATGTCCCAAGAGCATCGTCCCAGAGCTGCTGCTTCTTCCGGATCTAAATCTCGTCGCCACCACCACTTCTCCGCCAACGTCTTCTTCCACGGATCTAGTTCCTTCATCGTCGTCGTCGACACCATCGCCATCTTCTTCTAGCTCCTCTTCCTCGTCGAGTTCTACGTCGGGCGATAGCGATTCCCAGCACCAGCCGCAGCAATCGGTTCAGGTGGTCCAACTGGTTTTGGATCTGGACGAGAATGCCACCTCCAAGTCGCTGTCTAGTTCTCCGTCGACTTCTTCCTCGGCTGGTGGGTCTCTGTCGGCCAAGCGCCGGTGGAGGAACTTGAGACGAATGCTCGGTAGGCTCTCGCCATCGTCGCCTCTGCTCGCACTGCCGCCTTCCGCGTCGTGTTCGTTCTCATCTACGTCGTCAGCGGCGTCTTACGCGGTCTCGGTTGTCGGGGAGTCGTCGGATCTGCAAGGCAGTTACAACTCAATCCTGGTGCTGGTGGAGTGAAAGTCTTCGTACCTTGCAAGTTTCTTCGTTGGATGTATCGAGTTCCAACAAGGCAGAACCGAATCCGCGACGGAGGAAGGAAGCAAAGACTGGGCGAAATGACAGTTGCGTGGTGTATACAAGGTGTCAGCCAGTTCTGTATAACCAACAGCGCTTTCTTCACCAGAAGAAGACGAACACGAAGAAGGATCCGTCACTTCTGGTCAGTAGCTTCCAGCTGGAGAAAAAAAAAAAAAAAACAAAAGGAGTACCTATTCGATTCCGGCTGCGAGCCAAAAAGAAGATCTTCCGCAGACCTGGAAGTGGAACATCTGGTCAGCACGAGCTTTTGTAAAAACAATTTGCTTTTCTTAGTACCTCAGAAACAGACAGTGGTCGACATCTCTAATGCTCCTCCTTTTTTCTCCACAAAGTTTAAAAAGCTGTGCACGCGATTTCAAAGCTTAACTGGCACTCAAAGACGAGTGCCTTACCACCAACAATGTTCTCCACTTGCATACTACGTATACGCAGCATGTCGGCTCTAAGCTTAAAGTCTTGCACTTCCGGCAACTTGCCTCCAATCTGCGAAACACGGTCTCAGTTTGAGTCACTTTCGAAAGAAAATGATGAACTTACCAATCCAAAGCTGGCTCTTTGCATCTTGAAATGATTAAGCTTAAGATAAGAGGCCTGTCTCATCACTTTCACGATCGCTATTGTTTATGCCTGCACAACTAAACAAATAGCTGCTCATCAATTTCGGGACCCACTCGTTGATGCTTCAGCAGCGTTGCGAAAACAAGGAATTAGAAGAAAGAAACATATATAAAATTTCTGCCGAAAAGAACACCGCCGATACTATCTTCTTACGCTTCACGAAGGCAAACTTGGTTTTCCTAGACAAACGCCTCTGATGCTCTTCACACGTTGAAAAGCTTCCTGAGCCTGCATTCCAATAAACATTGTAGACTCCACATAAAAGCGAAAGTCATTTACCTGCTTGTTTGATCTCTTTGCAATAACTGGAGACGAAGCCTGTGCTTTCTCGAGGTACATTTCGCCCAGGCAAAAGTAAAAGTTCGCAAGCTCGAGTGATGGACCTGGTAGGACCTTTTCCATGCACTGCAATATGAGACGACAAACGCGCAGTCCTTCCTCAGCATCTCCCATCGCTCGGCAGCAGTTCATAAGTGGAGTTAAAGCATCGAAGAGGAACACGTGAAGAGGGTGCTGAAAAGAAAATGCAGTTATGTTTGCGAAGATTTATGAACACCATACCAGCTTTCCCGTGAACTCAGATAGATAGCTTTCCAGTAATTTCCGGGCCTCTTTGAAGCGTCGTTCGCTGTAAATACGAACCGCAGCCACAAGCCTCTCCTCGGCTTTGGCAATCACTTCCCAAGGAGGATCCTTGAACCTCATAGACTCTGGATCCAGGACCCGCGAACACAAATCACATTCCCACGTAGTTGACGACGCTTGATCTTCATGCAAAGCTGCCGTTCTGAGAAAAACTCCCCCGCAGCCTCTAACATGGCAGACACAGCCCTGCCAGGATAATCTTTAGCAAACAAGGATTTTAAATTCCAGGCTTACCTCAAGAAATCTGTCAATGGATGTGTTCAGAGGCTCTACGCAGCGGTCACAAGTACAGTCGAAATGCTTTGTTGCCACCAACAGTGTTTTACGTACTCGGCGGGACTCATATAAGTTAATGTATGAAAGACAAAGCTGCTGCACTAGATTAGACCAAATCAACGCAGAATAAAAACGGCGATCACCTCAGCTCCCTTCGGAATATCTTGGACTGCTCGCACGTACATCACAGAACCTTCCGAAGCAAAACAGCAGTTTGGCCTACAAATTACCATCAGTTTCAGTCCAAAAAAAATTCATAAAAACAAGAGCTTACCGGCAAGAGTGGTTAAGAATAGAAACATATGGAAATAGGCCGAGGGCCACATGCGTGTTTTGTAGATTCTGTGCACCCATACCATGAGAATTGGTGTTGATCAGAGTGGCCAGCATTTCCAATTCTTCTGTGGTTGAAAGAAACGTAACTGTTAGGCATTGAATAGAGAATGTGAAACGATTTACCTATACTGCACGATATAGGAGCTAGTTTCCCACCGTTTCCCACGCAAGCAATCTTGTGCAGCCGGGTGCATCCGTTTCGGACCGCCTCCAGCCAACTGGATGGAGCTTTGCTCCTGTGAGTTTCCAAGCCCAGAGCGTCTTTGAAACAAGAGAGTATCACACCGTCTACTGTGCAAGTTTCATCTTTCGAGTTCTGAAATGGAAGAGTCTCGATTAAAAGTTCCAACTGTAGAAAAGACGATCTTGCCTGAGCCGTGCCAGCCTTTTTCAATGCAAGGTTGAAAACCAACCTTAAAAGATCAGCATCGCAGTTTTCGTCTCTGGCAATGCTGGCGATCTCTCTATACACAGCGCAGTAATTCTCGTGTGATCCCTGTGGAGGCTTGTAGCACTCCTGAAACAAACAAATGTAAGGCTCTCGATCGCGAATCAAAAGCTCACCTCGCAGAAAATCGTGTAGTTACACGCGGAGCACTCGAACTTTGGGCCATTCTCTGCAACATTGACGCCACAGACATGGCAGATTGCCTTGCGATACTGCCCGCGAGGAACAAATGCTATGGCCTGCTCCGCCACGACAACCTCTCCAGCCTTGATCGCCCTGAGAGAGTTCCAAAAAAACTCACTCACAAACAACGAAAGGAAAATAGAAAAAATGCGTAGAACCACTCACCTCGTCGCGACGGCACAGCGGCCCCGATTCTTCACAGTCGCTACCTTCCAGGGAAAGGAAGGCTCCAGCACGAAGTTCTTCTTCTTCTTCTTGCTCTTGTTCTTGCTCCTGCGATTCTTCGCCTCCGCCTCATCGGGTTGCTGCTGCTGCTTCTCTTGCCCAGAAATCTCTAGATTTTGCAGCAGAGCACCTGTAGCATCGCCCGATGCCGGCGTCGCGACCTCCACGGGACGAGAATCCTCCATTGCTGCGCCGGTGGCCAAAAAACCCTAACCCCTAAAACACTTCACAAAACTCTAGGCTAGTTCTTCGATTTGCCCTAGCTCTCTCAATGGAGAGGGGCAGCAAGGCGCGGAAATGGGCGATTGATTTTGGCGATGGCACGTCGTCCAGGGAAGTCGCCGATCCGCCGGGCTACTCACGAGGCGCTTCTTCAGAGATTGTGAGTGTAAAAATCTCGCGGTTTGTGTGACCTGAAAGAAGGATTTTGGGGCGTGATCGCAGGAAGATGCTAGCGCTGCGAGGCAAAAGGAGAAGGTCGAGGCATCGTGGAAACAACAGGTAACATTTCTTTTCTTCTTTCTTCTTCTCTAGAGTTTTTTCTGCTAGAGTTTTTGTTTGCTTTCTTTCTTTCTTTGTTCTTACTGTGTGATCTTACTGTGTGTTCGTGTGTGTAGAAAGCATGGGAAATCGCTCAAGCTCCTTTCCGGAATCTCTTTATGATGGGATTCATGATGTGGATGGCTGGGAACACGGTCCATTTGTTCAGCATTGGCATTACATTCTCGGCTCTCTGGCAGCCCATCAGTGCTCTTCAAGGAATCGGGAAAGGTTGTCACAAAGTTTTCTATCGCCATCTCCATTTCTCTTCTGACTCTTTTCTTTGCTTTCACAGTTTTCGAGCCATACAAAGATGCTCGAACGGACGTCCTAATGCCCAAGCTCTTGTTCATCGCCATGAATTTGGTGGCTCTTGGAATGGGACTCTGGAAGGTAAGTTTTTCCACAAGTTTTTAGACAAAAGATAGGATCAAATGTTTTCCTTGCAGCTAAACTCGCTGGGCCTTCTTCCTACTCATGCCTCAGACTGGGTCTCGTCACTGCCTCCACCACAGGTTTGCATCTTTTATGCGATTTAGAAGAACTCTAATGTCAATCGATCTATATCACCAGATGGTGGAGTTTTCCGGAGGAGTTTTGTCGAGCTAATGTGGAGCTTCTAAAGATTTCCATCGAAGAATTAGCAGTGCTGATTCTTTCTGGACGATATTGTGTTGATTAACGTTCTTTGCTTTAAAGAAAGTTTAAAATGTACACTCTCTTTTTCGAGCAAATCGTAGCGGTGGCGGCGATGATAGCGGCGGCGGCGGCGGGTGGCGGACACAATGAATCGTTTTCTGTTTCTTTTTGTTTTATTTCCTTTCTCCTATACGTAAGGAGCAAAACCTTGCCTGAGCGCTGCTTGCCACACCTTGTCAATGTTTTCTATATCGATGGAACCAATCTCGTGATGGTCCCAGCCTTCCAACGCGTGGAGTAGTCCTCCGGCATGGCATGCATGAACCACGCCTCGAGGCATTGTAAACTGTCACAAACAATGAGATGATGAGATGATTCAACAAAAAAAGCTCTTACCTCGCAGAAATGCAAGCCTTCATGGTTCTTCGGCAAGTACATTCCTGAGAGCTTCCCGTAAGTAACGTCTTTCCGGATTTCTGCTACCGGTGGCACGACAAATTGGTGAAAAAAGGTACCAGGAGGAGCCCAGCTTTGGTCCTTGGCAAAGATCCACTTTCCTACGATCCACGTCTGTTTTGAGAAAAGAATGAGAAAGCCTCGTAAGAAGAAACGAAGTACGGAAGTACCTTGCAGTTTTGTCCCGCTTGATACTTGGTAACTTGCACCAAGTTCTTTTGGAACTCGACAGGGGCATCTTTCACAACTGCTTCGTAACGCTCCCTCGAATTCGTAAGCATCTGCAATGCCAACGAGAAATTCAGCACAAAGAAACGTGAATTGCCACAGTACCAGAACTCTAACTCCTCGCCTGCAAAGGTAAAGAGCTAGTGCGCGACCGATCTTAGACGTTGATCCTGTCAAAAACACTTCCTTCGCATCCGGTCGGAGCTCGTTGATAACCACGGCAGCAGTAAGTGTGTTGCCGTGGACTATCTTTACTCGCAAGTTGGTGTATTTCTTCCAAAAGAGCACACCACCTCCATTAAGTTCCTCGTTCTGCAAATATATATTAACCAATGCTTCTATGCTTGAAGAAGAGAGACGACGTATCATACCTTGTTAAGCGCAGCAAGGCTCAATACCTTAACACCTGATCTATCGGCTTCCAGGATTGCTTCTTCAATGAATCCATTGATACTCTTCTTACCAAACGGCAAGAAAAACTAGAAGAAGAAAAAAAACAATTAGCACTAAAAACTGCAAAGAGGACTCAAAAGCTTACATGGAAACCATATCGAGGAATAACTCTAACTTGAGCATGGACACGTCCAACTAAGTACTCGCTGTAGACCATCGTTCTCCCCCAGGCCCACATTGCAAACATGGGTGGGACTGTCAATATCAGAGGTGGCCACAAGAACCATCTCGGCCCGAAAGGCTCGGCAGCCAGAGACCTGAAAATAAACGACGTGTGCATCGTTGACATGAAGTCAATTATGTGCGCCAAAAATATAAACTGAGGAACCTCCTCTTTCCGACCTGGGAATGAAAACAAACATTCAAAAATCTTGGCGCCGTGGACAAAATCAAATCTAAGAAAAACAGCACACCAACCTTTACGAAGTGCCGTGTAGAGAGCCTCTGTCTTGGGATGCATCGTGCCCCCCAAATAATCATAAACTGGCATGAACAGGCAGAAGTTGGAGTTGAGACTGCTGTGGTGAAGAGAATGATACCTGGAAAAGAGAGTAACGCGAAGGGAATTAGAATTACTGTCTCAACAAATCGAGGCCCGCCCAATGCATTCTATATGCTTGCAACTCGCCAGAAGGATGCAATGAAGGTCACTAAATGAAAGCACGTGATGACTTCCAGCAACTGGAGTGATGTTAAGGCGCACCCCCACCAAACTTCATAAAAGCAAAGCGGAGTCAAGCAAAAAGAGAACACATCGCGACAAATGCATAAATTGGAGTTCTTATGCAGCTTGGCACCAAATAAAAAAGGGTGTAGCGAAAACTTACGACGGCGTGTAGACCACCAGCTTGAGCAGCGGAAAGGCTCGGAAAAGTGACTCCGGGAAAATTTCGCAGTTGAAATGGCCATACATCTTGAGCACGTCGTAGGATAGGATGTAGAAGTAGAACATAGAAATTGACGCAGCTCCCATGACAGCGGCTCCAAGCAGCGGTAGAGCTATCAATCCAGTCTGTACCAAGTGCTCCAGGAACGTCGAGTTACCAGCTGAAAGAAAAGTGGTCACTACGGATAAAGCCAGGACAATTCACGTACTTGTGGCGACTTCCGGGTTCACAGAAGCGTGGTGCAAAGAATGGTAATTTTTGAACAGGTGGCCATCGTGGAAAGCGCGGTGGATCCAGTAGTACAACGGCTCCGTGACCAACGCGTGGAAGATTACAACGTAAAGCCATCCTTTGTAGTTCCAAACGGGAAGATTGCTGAAGCCAGGTACCCACGAATGCGCTGCTAATGCAATCAGCCCCTGGAGAATGATAAAATTGTCCCTGGATACAAGCAAAGAACAATCAGCACAGAAAGGCAGCAAGCGCCATCTTGACTTACCAGTGGAACTCTCTATCCAGTTGCTCGAATGTGATCTTGAAGGCGCTGACCCGGTGCTTCTTGACTACCCCATGTAAGTGTTGAAACAGGGAGGCATAGAAAAATGTTTGGTACCGAATCAGGCACAGAACAAAAATGTGCAAGCACCAGTTATCTGTGTCCTTGTAAGCAGCATTGTAGAAGTTTGCATACAGAGCTCTTGCCGCAAAGGGAACCGAGATCCAATACTGGACAGAGAAGCACAGAAAACCATCATCACTCAGTCAACCACTAAAAATATGCAGAAGGCAAAAAACTAAAGCACGGACCTTGTAGTTCCCGAGAAACGTCCACGGCCAGGACGAGAGTGGTGCAGTCGTTGCAGCAGCCATAGAGTGTGCTGGTAGTAGCGCTCCGAGGCAGCAAAACGAAGGAATAAGCCGCCCCAAGTGTACCAGAGAGGATCAAAGAGGACCCATACCAAGTTGCTTTCCTCTTGCTCTCTCCACAGAGTCCGCAAAGAGAAATGCCCAAAGGAAGGACTGCCAGGATTGTTCACGCACAGCACACCTGTCGTCTTTATAAGTGTTTTCACAGTGATTAGTAAAACCAAATCCAGACTTAGCTTACTCCCAATAAATGGCGCCGCATATTCTCGCCGAGGAAGAAACAGAGACCTTTCGTCGTGTAACTTCGGCGGCCAGCTTTCTCAAGCGGGAGAAAGCTGGAACAATACAAGCCGCTTGAAGCGTCTGCTAGTCACGAGGATAATCCTGCTGCGTTCTCCGAGTTATAGTTGGTGACAGAATTGAAGAGGTCAACATGGTCGCATTTATAAAGACAGCCAACGAAAGTCGCAAGTAGTTCTGGGGATGGTCTCTGAGAGACAAGACGGACACTAAAACGAGAGGTTACATGCATTTGATGAGCGGATTCCCTGCAAAGCATTGACAAAAACAGGACAAGCTTAAGAGATACGAAAAGAGAGATGAAGAAATAGAATACATCACATTGAAGAGCCGAGGATTGACTTATTAAAGGATCCCTCGCGGGACGGATTGGTATCTCTCCCAATCCCAACACCATTTTCTCGACAGTGGAATGAGCTCGTCGTCGTCTACACCAGCCATAGTACAAAAACTAAGAGCGTCAGCTTTTAAAATTAATTAGATGCTTCAAGGACCATGTGACGCTGTCATACGGCCATTAACTTGGAAGACGGTGATGTCCTTTACGGTCTTTCCAGCGCCCCTACCTACAAACTGAATGTTAGACAAAAGTATTTGGTGACCAAGAGCCGAAAATGTGAAAGAGAGGAATAGATAGATACCTTCGTCGAGCTTAGACTAGACAGCCGCTTTCTCTTTCTCGGAAGCCGCTTGTGTGTCCTCTGAAGGCCTGTTCTTTTTGCCGTCCTTTATAGTCCAGAAGTCAGACACTCGAGTCTTTGGAGGCTCTTTTGCTTCGCCAATTGGTGCTACAAGCCCCGGCTTTCCGTCGTCAATAACACCATCCACCAGGCCGTAGTCGACTGCTTCCCACGCATTCATGAAGTAGTCTCTGTCCGTATCAGCTTCAATCTGCAAAATAAAAATCTTCCAGTCTCAGGCATTTGAACAAATAGAAGTCTAATACAAGCAACCTGCTCTTCAGACTTTCCAGTTAGGCGAGACAGGATTTTGTTGAGCTTTGCTTTGTGGTACATCATCTCTCTCACTTGTATCCCAACGTCGATTGCCTAACAAGCGACACGAATATAAAGTCTCAGCAGACATGCGACGAAAAGACTAAAAAAGTCTCAAAATTAAGAGAAAGGAAGCTTTACTTACCACACCGCCGGCACCTCCCAGTGGTTGATGGATCATGACACGAGCATTTGGCATGCAATATCTCTTTCCTTTTGTTCCAGAAGCCAGCAGAAAAGCCCCCATCGACGCTGCTAGCCCGAAACAAATAGTTGAGACGTCCGCACGGCAGAGCTTCATAGCATCATAAATTCCCATCCCTGGAAGCTGTCAAATGCTTAGCCAGAAGATAAAAAGAGAACCAAAACTCTGGCCAGAAGATGGAAGGAGAACCAAACTCTCGAAAAAAAATTCTTGCAGCTTACCAGCTGAAACTGAGCCACCGGGCGAGTTGATAAACATTTTGATATCCTTGGTTGGATCTTTAGCGTCGAGAAGGAGCAACTGGCTGATGATAAGATCGGCAGAAACATCATCCACCTTCAAGAACAAAAACAAAAGAAACGTCCAAAGAGAATGAAAATTTGTAAAAACTTTCGCTACCTGCGATCCGAGGAATACAATGCGCTGCTGGAGCAACACTCCCGCGGGCTCCAAGAGGAGCGATCCAGCCTCCGACGGCCTCGACTCACGGCCAGAGCTTCCAACACCCCACTGCTCACAGAGAAGCCCTCGTCTCTCTTCTCGCGCTCTCGCCAAAACTAAGCTCCTCCGGCAAGCAGCGCCTAATCTATGTACCTTGTTCTTGGGATGGAGGCCATCGACGACGCATCGCAGCGACGAGGACGAAGAATGCGGCATCGTCCAAGCCGAGGTCGCCATAACTCCTCTGCTCTAGGGCGAGAGCCCTAAACCCTTAATTAAATGGCCACATTAAAGCAAAACTAATCGTTGCTTTTGCGTTTTCTTCGAAAGTTTGGAATGGCCAGCAAGCTCGGATCGCGCCTTTCTTCGTCACCATCTCTTTCGTCTCTCCATTGTTTCTCGCGACGATCTTCTTCTTCCGGAGCTTCGGGACGATCCAGGGAAAACTCTTCCAGATTTTCCTCTTGGCGACGAACTTCTCCATCTCCAGGATGATCTTCCGCAATGAATCCTCCACCTCTTTCCATCTCGCCCATTTCTTCTGCTTCGTAAGCTTCGAGGTCCTCCTCTGTAGGACCACGAAGATCTTCCGAGTCCTCTAGAATAAATCCTCCTCCACTTGATGCGTGTGCTCTCGGAGCAGCAAACTCTCGAGCCTCTGGATCTTCCAAAATAAATCCTCCTCCTCCCGACGGTTTTTCTGCTGCCTCGAAAGCTGCAATGTCCTCCTCCATTGGAACGAACTCTCGGTCTTCCGACTGAGATCCTTCCGCCGTTGAAACAAACTCTCGTGCGCCGCCATCTTCAGGTGTTTCGTCCAGTGATCGTTCTGCGGGTGTTGTGATTTCCGGAACCTGCGCCTCTGTATCCTTTGCGGCTCCACCTTTGGCTCTTGCTTGACGTTTTCGCGGCGTCCTTTGAGCTGCTTCAGTTTTTTTCCCAGCAGCTGTCGCTTTTCTCTTCCTTGGCTTCGGAGCAGAGTTTTCGTCCGATGGTTTTATCCTCCTTGTCTTCTTCGTGGCTGGAATGGCACCATAAATCATCTCCGGCAGTGTTTGCCCCGTTATCCCAGAGACGGCTTTCTGAATCCTGCTGCTTCGGATCTTCGCGAATCGCTGGTTGAAGCTGTAGAACGCATCGATTCGTAGTTGCGTCTGCAATCAAAGATATTGCAATCACAAGCCAAGTATAGGTACGATCTTACCTCACGACGATCGTACTCTTTCAGAACTGGAACTAGAAGTTCATCGGCTTTTTCCTTTGTCCATCCGAATTTTTCAAAGCAAAACCTGTGTCACGTTAAAAACATTAAGCCAGTTGTAACATTGCGTGATATCTTACTTCCGAAGTAAGTCGAGATCAGGCCGACCCCACGAAAAGGTTTCCTTCGACTTGTCTACTTGAGGACATTCATACGCCTCAACTACAGCTTTGCTGGGAAAAGAAGAAGGGATCGTCCAGTTCTTGCTTACTGCACGCTAAACGAACAAGACCGAAATGCTGCTTACGAAAGAAAGCAAGAAAACTTACGTGTTTGTGCATAAATATTTCTTTTCTCTTGTCAAGCTCCACGCCAGCGTCATCACTCCCATCGAGATTATCTTGCGATTTCTTGGTCGATTTTCGAGATACACCCTGGGCCTTGTCAAGGAGCATAAGGTCCGGAGACTCTATCCAGTCTCTAAGCTTTTGCAGCCCATCCTCTTCAGGAAAGGCATTCACAACCTCGATGGCATTCACAATTCCTATACCACTGAAACACAGCAATGTTGACGCGAGAGAAAAACTACTTGACGGATTGATATTACCTTATTCCTTCGGTATAATCACTGCCAAGTAGCATGGCCATCCGTATCAGCTTATCTCGATTCAAACCGAGATCAGACTCTGCATCCTATAAAAGTAAACGAGTCACAAAAATTAGTAAATGGACAGCTTACCTTCATGTAGTAAGTTTCGACGTATTTGTGGCCATCGAATATGTTTTTGTAGACACTGCGGCCTCCAAAAAGAAACACGTCCGAATCATCCGTAATCACACCATCGACGAGATCTTCTGCATCCATGAAGGCACATTGTGCTTCAGCTTCCATGGGTGCTACCACATACGGGATCCCAAACAGTTGAAGTAGTTCCTACGTAATAAGAATAAGAGTTAGCTCCCATATGAAACAAGCTACCTGGCACTCGGCAAACATTTCATTTGTAACCGTCTCCGCATTACGTTCGTTTCTCTTTTTCTCTGCTCGAAGCTCCGCTTCTTCTTGTAGCAAGTTTTCCCTTTCCTCGTTGATCCGTGCGTGCCGAGCTGCTCTGTCCTCAGCATCGAGAAACCGTTCTTCATCCTCTGTTATCATCGTTGCCTTCCTGCTTTGATCCAAATCAAGGACTACTTCAGTGTTTTCCAACTCATTAGCTTTTTTTTCAATTGTGTTGTCGAGAACTGCCTTTCCTTTACGTGAGCGCTCAGATTCTTCTTTGTCCTGAACTGCGCCATGCTTCACAGAGTCTGGCTCTTGTATGGTAAGAGGCTTAAAAGCTTTCTGAAGTCCAAAGTCCACTAGGCTTCGACGAATTGCTTCTTCAATCTGAGCTTGTTCGTCGGATACTCCAGTAAGCTTTCCATGCTCAATGTTGCATGAGTCCTTGTTGTCCGGTTTTTGCTCAATCAATTTACCAGGAGAAACGTTCCGTGCAACTTCTTCCCCTCCAGTGCCTTTGTCATCGTCCGGTTTTGAAACCAGCGGATGGTTTTCTTCACTTTTCGTGGCGTCTGGCTCGCCAACGTCCACTAGCGAAGTGTTCTCGGAAATATTTTGTGCGACATTATCATCTTCCTCCCATTCAACTTCTTCAGCGTCAGGCAGGACTTTATCAGCTTGAGGAGGGTGACTATCAGCCTGCATGTCTTTCGTACGCTCGTATCTTTCACCTTGATTGAGAACAGTAGAACCTGCTTGAATTTCAGCTTGTTTGTTCCCGTTTAATTCCATGACACCGGTAGTTTTCAAAGCAGAATCTCCAATACCGATCATCTTAGACTGTTTCCGAGCATCAGGTTCACAGACTGACACCACCTCGTGACCGTCGTCTTCCCAGTCGATCTCTTCGTCCTCCTGACCACGAGCCAAAGTTTGAAACGTCTCGTCAACCTCAAGGTTACCATCGTCCACAAACGAAACCTGGAAGTTCTGAGCCCCTGTCTCAGTAATCACGTCATTTCTTTGAAAACGAGAAAGACTGCCAGATCCTGCTTCATCTTGAGCTTCTCTGGCGGAAGATATTCGTGCATCACTTCCGTAATCTTCCTCCCATTCAATTTCATCCGGCTGGCTTTCCGAAACCAACCTTGCAAAAAGCTCGTCGGGCTGGAGGCTGCCATCATCGACGAACGAGACCCTCATTCCTGTACTACTAGTCTGCCCAGCTGAAACATTGGTTTCGTCACCATCTCCTTCAACAGCTATTTGATCTTCAGAAACCAGTTTTTCAAATGCGTAGCTCTCGTCGTCTGCTGGAAGTTCTATCACTTCGTCTTCTTTACTTTGAGATGCCTTGTCTTTCATAAGATATAAGTTCCACTGTAAATCACGAGTCATCCGAACACCCATTCCCCTGATCCTGCTAACTCGTTTTCTCCCTTTACTATCGAGATATGTCTGAACAGTGCTCCTATCTGCTGCTCCCATTTCTTCTATGTCCTTAGACATCTGCTTCACAGTAGTCTCTTCGACATTTTGCACCCCATCTTGGCTCCTGCCACAAAAGGCAAAGGGCTATTAGGAAAATGAGAATAAAACATGCCATACTTTTTCTTTCCAGCTTCCGTCGAGAAAATATACTCGCGATTGGCTTCTGAAGCAATTCGAACGCTCGGAACACCATCTTTACTTATGTTCGCAGCCGCTTTTTGCACGAGATTGATATCCCGGCGAAAGGCTACTGTTTTTAAGTAAGCCTCAATCTGAAGTTTTGAAAACGAAGAAGGTGCCTGAAAAAAAATATCGTTAGCACACTACAGAATGTCAAATCTTACACACCTTGGCAACTTTCTCAAACTTCTGTCGATTTTCTGCAACAAGTTGCTCCCTCATCTGCGAAGGTAAGATTAACGAGCGTACACGCAACAGTATAGATCCGAACCTCGTCAAAGAGTTGAAGTTGCATGGATGGCGGTAACGACGCAAGAACTTCGGGATCAACTTTTCCGTTAACCACAGGCTGCCGAAAACAAGAATAACGAGATCAGAACGAATTTCCAAACCCAAGCAAGAAGGAAGCCAGCGACGATCAAGGCAAGACAAACACAACAGCTATGGAAATATCAACATGAACTGATAGACACTGACTATGATGATCAGCAAACTCACAGATCTAAAGGGCCGTTGGATTTACGAGTATTTGTTGTTGTTCCTCGGAGCCAGAATCCAAGTCTATGGCACCATCTTCCTCCCACTCTTTTGCTAAAGAAGCTGTCAACCTGAGATGAAACAAAAATGAAAACCACGATAGAAAACAAGAACATCAATCACTGGAAACTTACAATGCGTCGGCATTTTCTTGGTCAGAAGAAGTTTTGGCTTGAGAAGAGCTCGAAGGAATTTCTCCATTTGCTCGTGCTTGGTCTGGAGCATTTGGTTGCTCCTCACGAACGAGTTCCTCGAGCTTCTTTGCTTTTAGCTGCGACAAGAAAAAATGAAACAAGAGAGTCAGAGACGCTGAGAATGAAACTCACACACGTACGTGATTCAGCAGTAGCTTCTCAGCCGTCTTGCGGATTTTCGACTGTGCTTGCTCTCGCTGCCTTCTCCTCGCAATCACAGTCCTCCTCTTCAAGAATGGCGTGCCACCATCGAAGACAAACACAGGCTTGACGCGGAGGAACAAGAGCTTGCAAATCCGGCGAAAGAATCCCAGGAGGTGCGCATTGCGCATCACTTCTCCACGATCATCGCGCATAGCCTTGAGAAACTGGATGATCCAAATGCTGGCATCTAGAAACAAAGAGATGAAGACTTGTAACAGCTGGAGAGAAATCCCAAGCTCGCGAATCACAAGCTCACCGATCGCCAGCTTCTTGTTGCCGAGGAGCTCCACCGACACGCGCCGCCCCACTGGCGCCAAGAGCTCCCATAATCCATGAACTCCCATGAAGAAACTCTAGGTTTATTTAGGGCTCCTCGCATCCAACAAGAGGGGAGAATGGCGGAGGAGGACGATCGCTTCTTCCAGCAGCGACTGGCCAATCTGTGAGTACTGCGCTCCAGCGGCATAGAATCGATTGAGAATTCTCTTGTCACAGGAGGCAATCCCGGGAGCTCTTTGAGAGCACAAGGAAGCTGCTCAATCAGCAAACCGCGGACGCTGGAGGCTACTTTGGGAGATTGTGCTTGCAGCTCAAGGACGATCAGAGCAGCGTCAAGGCTCTGCAAGAGATGAGCTCGAATTTGCTACTCAGAATCGCGAATGGAATGAATCTCTTCCAGGTGAGCTTGTTTTCTTCGATCATTATTGGATTATAGGTTGCTGCGCAGGGTGGAAATGGAAATGTGGATGGTGGTCGTTTGGTATCGGACACTGCCTCGTCTCACAGGTATGTTCTTACTTCTTTTTCATTCGGTACATTTGGTCGACTAAAGCTAGCCTTGATACCAGCGAGACCAGCACATTTTCTTTGGCTAAATGCAAAGCGTCGGCTACTTCTTTCACACCCCGGCTTCCATCTAGACCAGTTGGTAGAAGCGATTTCGTGCGAGGGCTGGAAAAATCGAATGCTACTATCAGTTAAGATCAGACAACAACGAACACTAAAACAGAAGAAAATGGTATTTGTTCTTGGTTTTTGTTCTTCTGGTCAACTGATCATGGTGTTTCTTTCGTGAGTAGATTCACTCTTCTCTGAGGAGGAGGATCCTCCACAAGCCGGGCTTGCTGCTTTAGAAGAAGACTCTAAGAAAGATGAAGATCACAAACGAAGTTCGAGCGATCGGGCATCCTCTTCTACAAGCCCCTCGGAGACGGACTCGGATGCCCTCAACGCTCTCGTAACGGATGAGCTTCTCCAGCATGAAACTCCGAGAACAGGAGAAAACCAAATCGAGGTCGAGCACGTCGAAGATGATCGTCACCATTCCAAGCACAACAACGATGCTGCTCTCGACTTCCAGCCTCCCAGCGAGGAGCTCCTAGCTCTCGGCACATCCATGGAGAAGCTCTCCATGCTGTGCACGCTCATCAACACGATCAACTTCTGGGAGGACGAGCTCCTTCTCGACGGAAGCTGGACGACTACCGCTCAGAGCTCGGCCTACACGCTCATCGCCGCGGCACGGGAGAGCCAGAAGCGGCTCTTCAAGATGCTGAGCTCGTCCGATCACTCCAGGGCGGGGCTGTGCTGTGCCGCCATTCGCGAGCTCGTGAGAGCTTATCCTCCCGAGAGGCTACTCCCGGCTGGATTCCTCGTGGTCTTACTCAAGAACACAGATACTGTGGAGAGACTAGAAGCGTTCCAGGACAACGATGCTGCTAGCTTCTGGGACATGCTCATGACTTTCGCGGTGACGCTCATGGACGAGCACGGCAACACGGCAGAACAAGTCGGCTCCATGCTGCTCGACTTTGTCGTCCCGGCTCTAGCTCCGGAGCAGCAGCCACTGGTGGAAGATCCGGAAGAAGCCCGAGCTGTTCTTCGTCTCTTCCTGGTGTCACACATTTGCTGCCGGATCATGTACAAGGGAGCCAGGGCCAATAGTAGCAGCAGCAGCAGTGGCTCCAACGAAAGATCAAGCTTTCCCAGCAAAAGTGATATCTCGGACAGTGAAAGCAAAGTTCTTAAGCTGGAGAAATCTAAAGGGCGAAAGACCAAGCGGCTGTGGAAGTCTGTGCTAGCGCTGGCTTGGAAGAAAAACTCGACTAAATCTTGGCGTTAATAAGAACTACATTAAGCGGCTTAAGCGGGGATAGATCAGCTCGGAGAGCATCTGAAGGTCGCGTGTTCGATCCACGCTCACCGCAAGAGTGCCTTCGAGGAAAACTCGACTAAAATTTTGGCGCTAAGAACTTGATTACAAGCTTAAAGCGGGGATAGATCAGCTCGACTGAAGATCTGAAGGTCGCGTGTTCGATCCACGCTCACCGCAAGAGTGGCTTCGAGAAAACTCGACTAAATTTTGGCGCTAAGAACTTGATTACAAGCTTAAAGCGGGGATAGATCAGCTCGCAGAGCGTCACTGAAGATCTGAAGGTCGCGTGTTCGATCCACGCTCATCGCAAGAGTGCCTTCGAAGAAAACTCGACTAAATTTTGGCGCTAAGAACTTGATTACAAGCTTAAGCGGGGATAGCTCAGCTGGGAAGGTCGCGTGCTGAATACACGCTCACCGCAATAGTTTTTTCATTAGTGAGAAAAAGTTAATGCTTCGTCACATTTTCGCCACGCTTCCAACCTCTTGGAGCAAAGGAACCAATTGTCCCTTGCGATGAGTCGCTGTGGTGTCTACAAAGAGTGGCCGATGCGTTAGCGCTACGCGCCAAGAATTTAAACTAGAGTTTTTTTTAACTTACCATCGCAGCCACCGATATGCTTGCCGCCAATGAAGACGCTAGGAACAGTGCGCTGACCGGTCCACTCGGCTAGGGCAGCTTGAATCTCCGCCCCATCCTCTAGAAACCAAAACAGAATCAATCGATCAATCGCGAGAAAGAAGAAATTTCTAGAGATTACTCTCGGCATTGAGCTCCAGCGCGGTGAATTTGGCTCCCAGGCTAGCGAGGAGCTTCTTCACGCTCACGCAATATGGGCAATAGCTTTTGCTGCCACAAGAAAAGAATGAAACCAAAATCGATTGATCGGCCGCTCGATTCGATCGAACCTGAAAACCATGACGGGATTGCTGGCGACCAGATCCTTTGCCTTCGCCATCGCCGTTCCTTTCGTCGATTCCGCCGATTCTTTCTTCGCTTCCGCCATGCTGCCGCTACTGCTGCTCGCCACGAGCCCCATTTTCAACCCCAGGCCTAGAACGGATATTCGTCAACGTTAACCGGATATTCGAGTCTGCCCTAATGCTTACGTGGAGCGTGAGTGCCACGTGTAAAGTGGCCGTGGTATAAATTGATTCTCTCCGAATATTTTGCCCCAGGAACGTCGATAGCTTTCGTTCGCGATCGCTGGGAGCTCGAGGTAAGCCAATGCGTGTTCTTTCCTGTCGATCGCTGCTTCTCCGGTGCTCTGCCTGTGATATTATGGATTCCTCTTGCCTCTTTTCGGGATCTTGATCGCGTCCTTGCTCGATTGAATCTTTCTTGCCTCTCCTCTGGATCTTTCTACGATTTGATCGCATCGGCACTCGATCGTTGCTCTGCTTTGCCGATTCCATGCTTCGCGTGAATCTTTCTTGCGTCTTCGCTGGATCTTGATCGCTCCCGCTCTAGAATCGCCTCGATCTTGATGGATTTCTTGCGGATTTTGACCATTCGATCCCGCTCTCGCCATTCCCAGGGTGCCTCGCGATGGATCTCGACGGCAGCAACCGCCTCCTGCGCCTGATCGCGATCTTTCTCTCGATCGTCTCCGCGGCGCATGCATTCGGCTACATGAGCACCATGGCGGCGCTGTGGGGATCCGGCTCCTCCCCGGTCAAGAGCTTCTCCGTCTGTGGCATCGACGCGAGCTCCGGCAATCCACGCTGCTGGGGCACATTCGCGATCAACAACGCCTCCATCCCGCCCGCCAACATCTCGCTCTGGTCGCTCACCGGCGGCGCCTACTTCGCTTGCGGCCTCACGCTCGACGGCCACAACCCCGTGTGTTGGGGCCAGACCCCGGGCAGCATCGTCCCCGCGGCCTTCCAGGGCGTCCGCTACTCCACCATCAACTGCGGCGGCTGGCACGTCTGCGCAATCCGGGACAAGAGCATCCTCCCGGGCGACGAGGGCCGGGTGGACTGCTGGGGCAACAACGATTTCGGCCAGTGCTCGCCCCCGATCACCATCCCCATGCGCAGCATCACCGCGGGCGACTACTTCTCGTGCGGCCTCACGCAGTACACGGGCCGGGTCGTGTGCTGGGGCCAGATGTCCGGCGACCACAACGATTCCGCCCAGCGCAACCGCTTCAACCAGCGCAGCCTCTTCGACACCATCGCGGCGGGGCGGACACACGTCTGTGGCATCCTCCGGAAGGACCACCGCGCGCTGTGCTGGGGCGCCAACGATCACGGCCAGTGCTCGCCGCCGGAGGGGGTGGCCTTCTCGGCCATCTCCGCGGGGATGTTCCACACTTGCGGCATCCGGCTCGACAACCACTCGGCGCAGTGCTGGGGGGACGATTCGGTCGGCCAGTCGAGCGCTCCCGCGGGCGTGGCCTTCTCGCTCATCACCGCCGGGGATCGATACACTTGCGGCGTGAGGCTGGATCGGGATGATCACGGAGGCGTGGAGTGCTGGGGGAATCAAGTGGCGGCGCCGCCCGACCTGGGATTCAACGCGAGCCAGGGGGTGTGCGTGGAGAGCTCGTCGTGCCGATCCACTCAGTTTGAGCTCGCGCCTCTGGTGGTGGTGGCTGGGGACAATCTCACGGAGACCGCGGCGACCACCGGGTGTAAGATCTGCTCGCCTTGCGCTACGTGCGGCGATGGGTTCTACGAGGCGGCCGCTTGCGGCCAGAGCCGGGACACGGAGTGCTCGAGCTGCGCGGCTTGCCGGTTCCACGAGCACGATCGGTGTACCAAGGTTTGCGAGCGCTACCGTCGGATGGGCGATGATGGGAGGGGCTCGGGCAGGAAGAAACCCGCGGCGGTGACTGCTGCTAAGAGCAGTGTCAAAGCTGCGGCAGTGCCATTCCTCGCCGGGAAGACGACGGTCATGGCGGTGGTGATCCTTTCTTTGGCTTTGTTCTAGAGTTTGCGTGATTCATCAGGTTTATTAACTGTTTTGGGGCCTTTATTATTCGCTTCTTTTTACATAAGAGTAGTTAGGGTATTTATATAGATGGGGTAATCGTTTTATTGAAGAGAATATACTAACCAATTTGAGATTCTTGAACCACGCACAGTGGATTTATGTTGAGAATGCTGTCCTCATAGAGCTCCCAAAGAGAAAATAAAAGAAAATCTATAAAGAACATGGATCCATGAGAGATCATAGTACCTTGGATGCCAAGGCATAGCCATGGATGATCTTGCTAAAGATGCAATCGTTAGCCTCCTACTGCTGGTGTTATGATGATCCCCATCTTCTAGATGGGATCGAGCTTGTGATGAAAATCCCCAACTTCTATCAAGATCACAATAGATTTCATCAACCTAGAATTGGCAAGCCAGCAGCAATGGTAGCTTACGCTGAGAGGGCAACGTCTGGAGAGGCATTGAATGATTCACTAATGATTCCTTCACTTCAATTGATATGCATTCTCACTTTGGCAACTCGTCCTAGGGCAAAGAATATCTTAAAATATTTTTCCCCTTAATCCCAAAGCACCAATATTTTTGGCAAAGGTTTAACAAGAATGATTCTCTGGATGCCAATATCATAACATTCTTAAAAAGTTGATCAAGTGCCAAATAAGTCTCACCACTGCAATTCATTACACAAGTATCCACATTTCCATTTGCATCAATCTAGTGCACACACATCCACATTTGCATCTGCATCGGGCATATTAAACATGGATTGTGTGTAATCTCTTCTTACAATTAGCATTCTTCATCACATAGCATATTGCCAATATTTCTCATTGTTGTGCCTTGCCATGTTTATCCTTGTTTCATTCCTCACATCATATAGTGCATCACTAACATTGCTCATGGCTATGCATCACCATGCTCATTCTTGTTTCATTCTTTGCATTGCATAGTGTATTGCTAATATTGTTTATTATTGTGCAAGACTATGTTCATTATTGTTTGTTAGTGGTTATGTGGAGAGGAAAAATGATTTGTGATAGGAAAAATTATAGATATAATATCATGAAAAAGGGATTTGACATCATCTTGCAAGCTTTCAACAATTCAACAATAATAAAAATGAAGAAAGCATGATGGCTGCAATGTAAGTTTTTTTTTTCTTTTACTTCTATAATTTCTTTTTTGCTAGGTACCTTGGAATTCCATTTAAAAACACACTCTTTCGAGTTTATGCGTCAATTACTACACATGGCAAATGTGTGATTTTGTTCTCCAAGCACAATATTAAAGATGAGAGTGACAATAAAGCTGAAAACGGGGAGCGAGAGGATGCTAACAATATCAAGGAGTCCACATGTGAACAAGAAGGGGGAGCCAAAGGATGTTATTAACCCAAGTGGTGATGGCAATAATATAATTGAGAACGGTGACCCAAACCTAGATATGACTAAGAATGAGGAGCCCCTGGATGCAAATGGGAACAAAGACCCAAACAAAAATGCAAACCATAAAGGTGACGAGCCAAATGTGAAACTTAATGCTAAGCTAGATCCTAATGACAAAAAGAAGGGTAAGGAGAAGATAGAAGAACTATTCTAAAAAATATATTGACTAAGGAGAGTTGGCAAAGGACTTTTAATAACTATCATTAGTAAGAATTGTTTCTTTTGTTGCAATGTAATGTAGAACATTGTTTGCATGTAAGGCCTTTTAGTGACTTTAGGATAGAGTGGCTGGAAAGGTTTTTCAATTTTATAGCAAGAAGTGGAAGTGATTCCACAAGTATATGCTTAGTACTTTCTATCATTTCTAATTTTTTTGATTGTACAGTTGCAATTTCCATTTAAGAATTCTTGAAATGCTCCCTCTACAAAGTAATGGTTCTAAAATGGGAGTAAGCCTAAATGAGGCTCACTAGGCTTGGATCATGGAGTGGACTAAAGCAATCTGATTATGGGTAAACAAGATAATATAGAGGTGACCCTAAACCCTAAACCATGTGCTCACTGATCCCCCCCCCCCCCCCCCCACCCCCCACAACCACATTAGTGTCTATATATTTTGCCTCATTTTACAATACAAGATCAATATTGGCTGTTACAACAAGTTGATATTTATATCGGATGCACCTTTGCACCTTGGTCTTGTGAAGGTTTGATATGTTGTGGCTGAGCAAAGATGGCTCATAATTATTTGAAATTAAAAACCAATACATTACCATCAAAGGAGGCCAAACACTTCTTTATGGTAAGGAATTGTTTTTATGTATACTTGTTATGAGTAATGTGTATGAATATCTGACAGGTGTATGCCTATAAAAAAGGTAAACTTCACAAGAAATAGAGTATCTACTACTTAATTGAATCAAGCCAAGTTATAGCCCACACTTATTTTAGAGCAAATGACATCATGAAGTATATTAGTCTCTTATGTTTTTTGACCTATTGGATCACATCAAATGATTGTAATGACAACGGTAAATGTATATTTATCATTTGGTTGCAAAAAAAAAAAAACTTTTTGATCATAAGTTATATTGATAGAAGCAATAGCAATTGTAGACACATCTAAGTATATTTCTCCATGGTTTGGCTCAATACATTTTTTGTAGCCATTTTCATCATTCTTTTTTTCTTGAGTTATTTCAAGTAATGCTCTAGATAATAGGCAACAGTTTTGGGATGGCAATGCTTGCTTATTAGTTTTGCTATAAAGGGTTATCAATAGTGAGTTGAGTTTCTTTTGGTTCCAAAAACTATAGGGTAAACAAACAATGAGAGAATTTTTGAAATGAATAAGGAACAAACTCAGAGAACTTTTGAAATGAACAAAGGCTAATCTCCTAACATTTAAGGTCTTTTAGCTTTAAATCCCACATGCCAAAGTATATTCTTAGAATTCTCTTGTGGTTCATGTCATTCTCCCCTCCTTCATAAATTAGCCATGAATTGCAAGATCGAGAAGCTAAACAAGACTTATATGAAGGGAGTCTAAAGCAATATGGCCATGGAAAAAATATATGTAAACGACAACACCAATATTGCAATAAACAGCCACGACAAAAAGAAAGCAATACAACTTTCTTGCATGAGAAATAAAAAAATGAAAGTAAAACAAACAACTCAATCATATA